GTTCCTCCCCCCTCACCTGCTACTGACCTGTCCCCCGCCCCTCATTCGGCCCCTCTCCCTGCCCCCGCCTGCTCTTTCCTTCCAGCTTTTCCGGGCCTCCCAAATTAAAACCCGCCCCCTCTGGGGGGGTCTGTTTACACCACACCGCGCCTGAACCCCCTAGTCCGGACGCCTGGATGCTCTGTCAGCATCTGCCTCCCCTAATGCGTCTACCTGCAAGCCAGAACTCCTGGGTTCTCTTCTCTGGGAGGGGAGTGGAGCCTAGTGGTTAGAGCGGGGGGCTGGGAGCCCCGACTCCTGCAAATTAAAACCCGCCCCCTCTGGGGGGGTCTGTTTACACCACACCGCGCCTGAACCCCCTAGTCCGGACGCCTGGATGCTCTGTCAGCATCTGCCTCCCCTAATGCGTCTACCTGCAAGCCAGAACTCCTGGGTTCTCTTCTCTGGGAGGGGAGTGGAGCCTAGGGGTTAGAGCGGGGGGCTGGGAGCCCAGACTCCTGGGTTCCGTCCCTGGCTCTGGGAGGGCAGTGGGGTCTAGTGAGACCAGCCCAGCTGGGTCAGCTGGTGGGACCCTGACACCCTCCGGGGGCTGATTGTCTGGCTGTTGCCACAGGGCTACTGCTGTTTGTGAGCCCGGGATCCGATTCCAGGGTGTGGCTGGGAGGGGTCAAGGGGCAGATACCCTGAGGCAGGGACGTTTGGGGCTGGGGGTTTTGTGCCAGTGTCTCAGCCCTCTGAGGGGCAGCAGCTCGTCCCAGGGAGATTCTCTTCTCTGCAAGGACGGATCCAGGCTCCTGGGGACGCAGAGGGAGGGGGGGGTGGAGGGGCCCCTGTCGCCCTGGGCCCAGCCTCTCCCGGGAGCACGGGGTGGGGGTGGGTTACCTCACCTAGGGCTCCCCCGTCGGGTGGCTGCAATAGGCCTTGGCCAGGATCAGCCCCAGGGCGAGCAGGACCCCGGCGCCCAGTGCCAGGCGGGCAATGTTGCTGTGGGTTAAATCCAGGTGCTCTAGGGGCGCTGGCGCTGCTGCTGCGGGGGAAGGGGGAGGAGTCACTCGGTCTGGAATGGGGAGATCAGTGCCCCAAATCCTTGTCTCGCAGGTCTGGCCATGTCCATGTCCCCCTCTAGGAGTGTCCCAGGCCTCAGAGCTCTGGAGCCTCAGTTTCCCCAGCAAAGGTGTTGCCCAGGTAGAGAAACTGCCCCTTGGTGCTGCCTCTTTTCTGAGGCCACGCCCCCTCCCTCCTTCACTCACACTCCTCCCCCACCATCATCAGGATGGAGGCAGGCATGAGGGATTGGGAATAGCAGAGGGGTTCAGCGTGTGGGAGGGGGCTCAGGGCACTGGAGGGGGGCACTGATCTCAGGAAGCTTTTAGGCGGCCAGGCAGCTCTGGCTCCACCCATGGGCACCACCCCACTGCTCCCACTGGCTGAGGGTCCCAGTGATCAGCACCACGGGCTCCAGAAGCAAGCGGGAGTTCCGGGGAACACCTGGATCATGGGACTCCCGCCCCAGGACCCAGCACCCAACTTGTCCCAACCCCCAACCCAGGCCCCCCCCTTTCTGCCCCTCTTGGGGGATCCCCCAGGAGCCACCAGGCAGCAACGTACAGAGCAGGTGGTGGTGGGGGAGATGAGGTAGGAACGTGGCAGCCCCTCCCCATAGCGTCTGGGCCCATGCACCCCCACCCACTCAACCAGCCCCGAACCCTGAGGGCAGCATGAGCCTCCGAGGGCTGGTTTGATGGTGATTCCCCCCAGCCCTGGTACCTGGTCTCTTGTTGATTGGGCAGATGGGAGCTGGCATTGCTCTGGGCCATGTTGGGTCGGTTCCCTCTGCGGGAATAGAACCAGCATCCATCAGGGGATGCGGGGAGGAGGCTGAAATAGCAACTAGGTGATTGCACCCCTCCCCCAACCTGGGCTCTGGCTCCTCGGTGCAGCCCCACAATGGGGACAGCCATCTAGGGGCCGGGATCCCCCTCAGTCCCAACTTTCCAGTGCTCACTGCTCCCCCCCGGCTGGAGAACCCCCCAGTAATGCTGTCCCTGCTCCCCAACTGGGCATCTCCTCTTCAGGGCCCAGGGCTTGGAATAGAACCTGGCTCTGTGGGTCGTATCTGGGTGTGGGGCTGGAAGTGGGGAGTACCCTCACCTGCTCTTTCCACACGGCCATCCTCACCCAGGTGCAGAATACGCAGCTGTGTTGGGGCACCAGAAAATTTGGGGCACCCCTGGGTCTTAGTGTCCACCCTCCTGCACCTTCCTATCCCTGTTCTGTGGCCCTGCGTCCTCCGGAGAAGAGCTAGTGAACACAGAACCTGTGAAAGGGTGGCCACAGAGTCACTTCACAGGCACTTCTGTCCTGCCGGGTTCTAGCCCGTCGGTTTCTGAACTCACTGCATTAGTCGCCAGGGTTAAGTTTAAAAATGGGTTTCATTCGGGTGTTGCTGAAGATTATAAAACAGTGTTTCTTAAACTTTTTAAGACTGAGGAACACCAAACAATTTTTTTTATGAGGCATTTTTGTGGAGAAGAAAGCCGAGGGGGGGGGGGGCCAGGGGGAAAGTTATTGAGCAAAAAAAAAAAAAAGTCACCTGTCCCTTTAAGGGCGGCCTTTTTGAAATCTGCTGTTCTCCGCGGCACACCTCCAACAGCCTCGTGGCACACCGGTGTGCCACGGAGCAGTTTAAGAAACACTGTTATAAAATCACAGCTCTACAAACTCGCCCCCTGGCGGCCCTCGGACATACAGGCACTGATCCAATAGTATTGCATAGGGCCCCATAAACACTAAGGCCGGTCCTGGGCCACCGGCTCTGAGCATCACGTTAGTGGTGAGCCCCACTGGAGATCCGGCTGGGGGTGGGGCTGGAAGTCAAGCCGGGCCCCTCCCCTGCTACCACCAGCCCCACGGGGTCGCTGGGCGCCGAGGAGACGAAGGGCTCTGCCCGGGGCCGGTAGCTGCAGCTGTAGTTCCCTCCGTGCTGCCGGCCCACGGGGCGGATGTGGAACTCGGCCCCGTCCCCAGCAGGGTCCATGGGGCGCGGCCGGGTCAGGTCTCCAGCCTGGTGCACGAAGAACCTCACGTCCCCGCCCGGCCCCTGGCACCGGATGGTGACGTCTGCCCCTGGGGCAGTGACCCCAGTGGGGCTCAGAGAGGCGGAGGGTCTGGGCAGGCTGGGATCTGTGCGCAGGAGACAGGCAGTGAGAGCCAGGCCTGGCCCTGCCCCCCTCGGCCGGCCCCAGCCACGGGCAGATCCAGGACCCCTGGCAGAAATTCTCTCCCTGACCCCCGAGTCCCAGGATCCCGCCCTGCGAGCTGGGTCCCAGCCCCATAGACACGGAGCCGCGGCTCCCTCATTCTTGGGATCCCCGTGTGCCGTGGGAGGCCCCTGCCTCGTTCACTGTGTCCCAGCTGCAGGGGCTGCTCTCCAGGGCCGGCACCGTGGGGCTGAGGGTGGCCACCAGGCCTCCTGCTTTCGCCCCCAACGTCTGAGAGACAAGAACCCGGCAGAGTCCAGCCAGCACGCTGATCACCTGCACTGACTGGTCTCTGCCAGCAGGGGGCAGCAGCAGTGCCCCTAGCAATGGGGGGGGCTCATGGCTCCTCCCCCTTCC